GCTTTGGCGCGCGCGCGCATCATCTTTCCATCTCTGAATCTCCTCTATCTTTGTGCATTTTTGTTTGTGTGCATAAAAAAAAATCAAGTTCCCTGTGGGCCGTATTCATCGACACCTGAAATCTAGGACAACCAGCCACGGCCGTGTGGGCGCGACCGCCGCTGTGTATAGCGCAGCCATCCTGGAGTACCTCACCGCAGAGGTAAGCGGGAGTGAGTATGCCTGTGATCTGGAAAAGGTTTGGGGGGCGGGGGGGGGAAAGTGGGCGAGAGGGAAGGAGGAAAGTGATGCAAGAAAACTCCCAGGCCCTAAGCGCGGCGCTTAGGCAGAGAGAGGGCGCTAGAGGGAGCTAGTGTTCAGCCAAGGATCCTGCTGAGCCAGAGTTTGCTGCTGTTGCAAAAGCAATTGCGTGCCCCTTCAGTCCTTTGCATCATTTGCATAGTTTTGTCATTCAGGTAGTGGGGGGATGACGACAGTTGGTGGGTTAAACACCACTGACGTTTAGCCAGCTTCCTGGATCTTGACTGAAGGGAATTGGAAAATTGATCAGAATTTTGCCTTTTAGGTACTAGAATTGGCAGGAAATGCATCAAAAGACTTAAAGGTAAAGCGTATTACCCCTCGTCACTTGCAACTTGCTATTCGCGGGGATGAAGAATTGGACTCTCTGATCAAGGCTACAATTGCTGGTGGTGGTATGTTATCACTGACACTCGGTTACTTTCCAATAAGAAAATTCCTACATTTTCATTGCTTCCAGAAGAGGGCATTTAAATATATTTTATAAATCATGGTGGTTTATGGAATTTGGTTTACACAACATCATTCATCATTTTACTTTATGTTTGAATTTTTTTTTAAGACCTTTCAAGTTGTAGATTTACCTGCTTTGATTTCATGTACTGTTTCAAAATGTTTCTACAAAAAGTAGAATTAATCCTTGTCACTTTCCTAGGTGTCATCCCACACATCCACAAATCTCTGATTGGAAAGAAAGGACAACAGAAGACTGTCTAAGGATGCCTGGATTCCTTATTATCTCAGGACTCTAAATATTCTTAACAGCTGTCCAGTGTCGGTGATTCCAGTGGACTGTATCTCTGTGAAAAACACAATTTTGCCTTTTTGTAATTCTATTTGAGCAAGTTGGAGGCTTAATTAGCCTTCCAGCCAACCAAATTTCTGCATTCGAGTCTTAACCATATTTAAGTGTTACTGTGGCTTCAAAGAAGCTATTGATTCTGAAGTAGTGGGTTTTGATTGAGTTGACTGTTTTTAAAAAACTGTTTGGATTTTAATTGTGATGCAGAAGTTATAGTAACAAACATTTGGTTTTGTACAGACATTATTTCCACTCTGGTGGATAAGCTCAATAAAGGTCATATCCCAAACTAGTTTTAAACTTGCTTGATGATTACTACTAGATCTCATTCAGCTCCCCTACCTTCTTTGCTTACTAATCAAACACTTCATCTGTGGACCAACAAGTCATAACCAATTTGTCATAATGAACTAGGCATGCTGTTGGACATTCACAGTAACTGTGAAAGGCACTGTATCACAATTTGGGACAGCTGGACCGGTAGAGACCCCCAGGTATAACATAATAACCTCCACAGAATGAACTTAAGATGTAGAAGTTAAATCATTCTCAGTGACCAGACACTGTTGTCAACTGTGAAATGCTAGTCACAGGGGATGCGTGCTATTTTCATAGACTAGGGTAACATGATGAAAACATTGATACATATCAGGCATGTTCCTTAAGAGCTTGAGAAAACGCATCTGCCCCTTTCACCCTACCGAGACAACATGCGTGCTCCTTTCTGAGGCAAAAATTGGTAACAGGAGGTGGTATGCATGCAACCTCTGCAGATGAGAGAACTGCTTCCTGCTCAAGAGTTACAGCTGACTAGCCAAAAGAGCTGTGTATATTGTACCTGCTGGGCAGCAGTGCCACTGAAAAGGGCAGGGCAGTGGGATGGGTGGGTGGTCCACAACTCTAAATCTGCAGGACCCATGCCGCAGTCTTTCCCCCTAACAGGCCTGAGGCCTCCGAAAACCTATGGGCCCAGAGGCGGGGCCTGGGGGGCCTTGGGTCTCGAACTGAAACCCCAGCTCCCCTGTCCCCGCCCCGATG